AGCTCAGCGACCAGTTGCAGGGGAACCCTGGATGCCATATAAAACATAGACACAACTTTATATGTCCCAATCACCGAATCTCTCTGAGAAATTAAAGGGTCTCCTGATTTGATTCAGAGATTCAGCCACCAAATTGGGCGGAATATCCACCAAAGCTTCGCACAGCCCTAGTGAGTATATATTAATTACATCTTTTATGTAAAATGTCATTAGCTCTTATATCCTCACAATCTCCTTACCATCATTGCTTTTTAAGAAGTATTACTGTATTCTTCAAAATTAGATGGGATGTTATAAGTTACGCAAATTGAGCAGCAGAGTTTTATTTGCCATATTTTTGCACATACAATACTCCCTTGAGTAAGACGCCTTTTTATGGAAAGGCAGAAAGAAGAAAAACTGATCATTCCTTGTACTAACTGAGTAGCAGCAGCCAGAGCGCCAAGCCTGTGCATTATTCTCACTGGATCAGCTGAAGATTTTACTTTTCCTTTTGCCTGCTTAAGCAGCAGAAACTGCTTTTAAAATGTTTCTCACATACAATGCACACTCCAGTTTCCAGTAGCTGGTTTTTGGAAAAAAGGTATATGTTGTATGTGAGAAAATGTGGTATGTTGTAAAGCAGTTTCATATGCAGCATAAGCTTCTACAGGAGCAAGTTCTGAGAGCATCACTCAATGTTCACTAAACTGGAAAAAAAATCCATATGATTTTGTTTGTCCTTGTTGAGGCAACTTGTTAGCTTCCCTTTAGTTATGTTTCTCAGCATCCATGTAATTTTGTTTATAGATTTTCATTTTTTTTGCCATTCATTAACAAAATATTTTCTCTTTTTGTAGAAATATTAGAATTATTGCACTTTAGGCAGTCTATTTCCTTCATGCACCTGGGATACAATAAGAAAAGAATGCAGGAGAAGGCAGGTTCAGCTGCAAACATGTTCCCACCTCTTCTGATCTCTTGCACCTCTTTGATTTAAAGGGAAATGTGTTAATTGAAATGTGAAAAATAATGTGGCTTCATTCCCTGATGGACAACTCCACATGTAATACATTTTGAGGTTTTTTGGGTTTTTTTACCTATTGTTTTTCAAACTTTGGCTTGTTTTGGATGACAGATGTGAACAATACATACTGTCTC